GGTCGGCTCACACAGCCACACTGTCACCCTGATCACTCGGTCTGCCAACACTGCCCTTCCCAGAGCAACCAGATTTGACCGAAATGGTCACCATGCCCAGCAGTGCCAGCACTGAGACCATGCTTGAAAGCCCTGACTAGTTGAGAGTACAAAGCCAGTTATCTGAAAGCTTAAGACTCCCATAACCCCAGCAACAGCTGTAGCCATCTACCAGTTCAAGTGAGGAAAAGATTCCCTAGATACAGTCTGCAATAATCCCATTCAGATTCCCATTCCATACATGAAAATTATTGAAATTAAGTTCAGCTTGGTGCAGACTAGATGCAAGACCTTCGGTTCAGCCATTTCCTACCAGGCCTCTTAACGTGGTCCTAGCCTGCCATCAGAAATTACAGCAACCCACCAAGCAGTGCCCACTGAAACAGCCATTACAACGGGGAAGCCACTGCGCTGCTCTCCACATCTCACTGGCACTGCAAAGCAGCTCGTTCTCGGCAATGCTCACCGTTGAGCCAGAAGGAAGTAAGAAAAGCTCCACAGTGAACAGGGACTACCCTGAGCAGAACACTGCCACCTGCAAGGACTCCGGGTCAAGAGCAGCCTCCTCCACCTCACCTACATGAGTAATGCAATATTTGCAAAGACAGAGCTGTGGATTAGTTGTGTGTTGGCTACAGGGAAAGTGTTTGCTGCAGACAAGCACTACCAATAACACTGAGAGCCACTATGACAAAACGACTTGACCAGATGAAATTCAGGTTCGTACCAGCCCACACAGAATTTTAATCTGAATCTACTCGCTGCACCTTTTGCTTTAAAGCTAGGTGATCCAGTCTTCTCAGTGTTGAGCCAGACACCAGTCGGAGGTATCTTCATGAGCTACCTACGGTAGAGTTCAGGATCTGGAGTGGAAAGAGCAAAGCAAAAAGCAGGACGAGAACCCTAGATTTCAGAAAAGCAGCCTTCAGCCAGTTCAGGGACCTGTTCAGCCAGGCTAAGTGTCTAACTGCAAGAAAATTATCCTACAGGCCACATCTGGCTCACAGGCCAAAAACTGGAACACCTCAATATAAAACTTGATGAAAGGTATGTAAATACGTTTTATATTTACAGTTAAACACATTAATTTCAATACATTAAATGCCTTATCAAAAGTATTTCTCCTACAGATACCAATAGCAGGGTCAGCACTGAGGTGGGAGTGGGTGCTCTCTCTCGCTGTCTCTCGGCGCTTGAGGGGAGCAGGCTGTGCAGTGGAGGGAACGGACGAGGGTAGCTGTTTGCCCACACAAGTGTGCTGTGTGTGTTATTGCCCCAGCCAAATTGTCCTTCCACCTCTGGCACGGCTCAGCACACAGCCACATTGAGGAAGGCAGTAGCAGGAGCTATGCCTTCTCCACTCTGGACAGGGCTTCCTTCACCTCCAGGAAATGCTTATCTTTCCCATCCCTGTGCATCCTTGCCGCAAAAGTACTGGAAGAGTGAGCTACATATGCTCTGGAATATTAATGAGAATGACAAAAGAGTGCTCAATTTTTGTGTCTATTTTACAGCATATGCTTCCCCCCCCAGCTCTCTTATCCCACAGTGAGAGGCTGTCTAGCGGTGCCCTTGCTCAGATGGAGGTCCAGGATCCTGGACCAGGGCACATGTGAAGAGCAAACTCAGAATACCCGGCAGTCTCTGCAGAGCGCGGCAACCAAGCACCGCACAGCCATCCCACTCCCGAGCGAGATAAAAACACCCACATAGCGTTGTACAAATAGCCCTGCGAGAGCGAACTGTGTCGATGCACACACACTGGATTATCTAATCATTCGTTACCTCAATAACCCTATGAATAGTTGTATGCCTAAGAATTATTCATCAGGATTAAAGGCTGTGTGGTCATGGATTAGCACGGGACCCACTTCTGTGGGTCCATGATGATCAGTAACAAAAATTCCAGCAGGGATCTTACCAAGTAAACAAATTAGTTTGATAAGCAGAACTTTCTCAGTGCAATTTGGAATGGCAGCAGCCCTCTTTAAATAGTCATCTTTATTCTGGAGCCTCATTCTTACTATGCAAGCAGCAAAGGAAAGTAATTATGTTGAACAGGAGCCGCATACCATTTGAAGCCAATCTTAATGT